GTAAAAGTCTTCAAATTTCAAAGATACAGGCCATCAAAGTTAGGAAATTTTAACACATTTTTCCAAATATCTTAAACACTATTTACAGTAAAGCGCTGAAATTTGGTACAGTATAAATCAATGTCGTGTAAAATTGTTAGGCAATTTATGAGTTGGATCGGTCCGCGGGAACAATGCTTACCGGCTGTTCCTAAAGTTTGTTTGCTCAGAACTTTTTTATTCTTTCATAACCCTACATTTATTTTTGCAGTTTCTAATAGTAAATTTACTTTAGAAACTTTTATTACTTTTAGATAATATTGATAAAAATCACCATTTTCGTGTTAAATGTAAAAATGTTAGGTTCCGATTTCAATAATAGCACTAAAAAAAGTTTTTGAACATTTCCTTTAGTATTTTTTATTACTTATCTTGTTATTTTATGTACTTTTTTTATTATTCCTGTTAGTGTTGTCGTTTTTTTGTTTATTTTTTGTTAATTTTTTATTTATTGTTTTTGGATTCTTTTATTAAACCAACTAAAAGAAACTAAAAATGTGATTTAGCTAAATCTACACTTGGACATGTTGCATACATAATAGTTATGACAGCTGAGTTCGATTTTCACTTGTTATTGCCAATTCAGATTATTTATTTATTTATTTTTTTAGTGTTATTGAATTCGGAGCCTAACATTTTTGCATTTAATACGAAAACGGTGGTTTTTATCAATATTCTCTACGAGTGATAAAAGTTTCTAAACTAAATTTACTATTAGAAAATGCAAAAATAAATGTAGGGTTATGATAGAATAAAAAAGTTCTGAGCGAACAAACTTTAGGAACAGCCTGTATAGCATTGTTCCCGAGTACCGATCCAACTCAAAAATTGCCTAATGATTTTCTGTGATATTAGTTTACACTGTACCAAATTTCAACGCTTTACCATAAATAGTGTTTAATATATTTATAAAAACGTGTTAAAATTTCCTAAATTTGATGGCCTGTATCTTTGCAATTTGAGGACATTTACTAATTCTTTTTTACATGAATTGTCATCATTTTCACTCTAGTATATGTGGTTACATTTGTTTCCCGAGTCACCGAAACACCCTGTATAAAGTAGACAATATGATAAAATAGGTTTGCCTAGAAGCTGAAAGTACATCCAACTATGCATATTGTATTTTTTACATACGTTACATATTCTATGTCTTTTTAGAATAAAATATTACATATTTCCATTAGCGGTGCATTTTTTGCATATTTAGTAAAAAATTAATTCTAATATTTATTTTACTTTACCTGAATTTAAAGAAATTTGCGAGGTATCAGAACTCTTCCGAGAATGTCCCGACGCCCCGCTCAACGAATTGAGCGATTTGGCGTCGGACTCGATGAGTCTGTTTGCCTCTTCCAGTTTTGCGAGTAGCGCCAGCTCGGGAGCGCTAACGGCGTTATTGTTATTATTATTGTTATGACAAATTGATGGGGCAGCGTCCAGCCTCATGGCTGTTGGCGACATGGAACCATAGAAGGCCCCATCGGATTCGACAGCCAAACAACTTAACGATGGCCCAGAAATCCTAAAAATAAAAATATACACCGTATAAATAGTAAATAATAGTAAAGAATTTGTTATGACCTAAATAATATCTCAGTGTCAGTTGAAAAACTACTTAATGAGTTAAAAAAATAACCAAGTTAAAAGAATTACGGTCTTTATAGATAACAACAAGTTAAAGTAGAAACTAGAATAAATAGGATTCTACGTAATAAATATTTATAGCTGAGGGAATTCTCTTTAGATCCCGTTGGGGGATCGCTTTATACAAATTAACGTCCAAAGAGTTGACGTCATACAAAGGGGCGTTGTCGATTAATGCCGAGTTTTTTCACAATTAGCTAATTGCAAAACCTAATTTTAATCATCTTTGATAAACACTTATTACATAACCCACATTACATTTTTTACAATTTTCTTTTACGATTTTTGCAAAAATAGAAACGTTTGATGCTTTGCCAATATTTTCTTTTGCTGTAAAAAAGCAACTACAAGTGTACGTATTTAACATGTTAAATGATTTAGTTTTTAAATTCACTTAAAATGATTTGAAAACAATTATCTTTGCGGTTTATTAAAATGCATAAAACTTTTAAAAGTTGGAATGCAGAAATCATGAATATAAATTGAGATGATACACAGAAAACAAGTTTTAATTTTAATTTATACTAATTAAATGGTTTTAACGCGAAGATTAGTATATAAAGAGGAAATTGTTGGAAAGTTTAAGTCAGTTTGCAAAATGAAATCGTTCGTGGTTGTCATTTTCATGTTGTGTTTTGCTTGGTCCCAAGCTGACAACGAAGGTAAGAAAAATTATTAATATTTGATATTATTTTACTATTATTATTTTAGGGTGTACCTTGTTAAATGGATACTTAAAGTTAAAAGAACAGGAAGCTTTCGTAATTGGTGAAGCTTGTTTAAGAATTATATGTCGAGGAAACGATATTTTTAGCATTCAAAATGGGTACTAATTAATTTGTTTTAACTAAAGTTTTATTATTTGATTTTGTTTTGGTTTGAAAGGTGTGATGACACTCGATGGAGAGGAGCCCCATCTGAGGTGTACGTAAAAGAAATCACGCAAATTGCCGAAAATGTAAGAAATAATAACGCATGTAGCGGAGTAAATGTACCAACTCGTTCTTATTGAAAAAATTAAATCAAATTTTTATATTTTCTAACTATTACTGTTGTATAAATTCTTAAAAATCACAATTGTTTCTGAAATAACCCGGTAATACTAATATGAATACTAATAGTAATACAATAATCACAAATTGTTTGTTTTTAACCCCTTCATAATTTTTCGAAGAGCGACCATATGGCAAAGTGTTGACCAGTTGGTCAACATTCTGTCTTCTTTTACAAGTAAAACAAAATCATATGTCAAAGATTCTACGCATTTTGTGGCTCAACATGTAGATAAAATGGCGGAACACTGAATAGCCAAAAGATGCAAACACAAACGACCCGTGGTGAAATTGACAGTAGGAAGATAACACAGGCCGACAAAAATTTAAATGTTTTCTAAACCAACAAGTAGACTATACTATCCCGAAGGTTTTTCACGTTCTAAATCCAAATTTAACCTCAAAAATGCTTCATCACGTAAGGTTTTCAAAATATCTTAGCCAAAATATGTTAAAAATACGGTTTCTGGTCGTATTTGTGGTTATAGTTCACATTGACGGAATTAAAAAAATAAAATTTTTTTAGAAATTTTGAAATTATTACCCTTTCCCTTTAAAACTCTTTTTCAATTATTTAAATATCTTTTGGCTTCTTCGAGATATCATCTGTTGAAATTAATAAGTACGTCGGTTTGTTCTGTCCTCGATAAACTGATGTTGAGTTACATCAAGTTAGCGATGCTAATGCACAAGTAAAATAAATATGCAAAAATATGATTAAATATCTAAAAATGAAACTTTAAAGTTGAAATATTTAACCATACATTTATCTTTTAACCAGATGGTATTCAATTGCGAAACAGGACATTCAAAATCCAGTTAATTTTTATGAATTTATTCATAAATTTATTTTTATTTCTATTTGTAGTACTTGTAGATTCACTCTGATTAATTGGAACGATATGAAAAAGGAAGTTGTCATTACACCAACCATGTGGTATGAGCCTAAGGTAGGATGTAAAAGGATAGGTGTGATGTCCATGGGATCCAGAATATTGTGATAACAAAATGACATAATTAAAGTTATGTTTAATTTTGTGCTCCTTAATTCGTAATTTGAGGACTCTGCCTGTCTCTCCAATGTAGGTTGCATGACAAGTTTCACACTGTAGCTCATACACTCCATTATCATCAAATTTGTTTATTTTGTCTTTGTTGTTTATGAGTAGGTTGCCTATAGTCTTGTTTGGTTTATCTGAAATTAGAATATCATATTGTTTCATGGTTTGTTTTATTTTGTTATTAATATTTCCTTGGTGTGTAAAGGATCTGTAGTTTTTGATTTTTTGTGTCTGCTGATTTTGTAGTTGTGTGGTGTTAGTTAAATTCTGTTTATTTTGATATTTGTAGATTAATTTATCTATTATATTTTCTGGAAAAGTATTATTTATGGCAATGTCTTTTATTATCTTAATTTCTTTGTCAAACTTTTCTTTATTCAAATTTGTATTATAGATCCTATAGATGTATGATCTGAATGCTACCATTTTATGG